AAATCAGCAATCAACGCCTCGGCTTTAGACGGTCTTCTTGATACAAATTAAGTTCATCCAGTAGATTTTTGGTAAGTTCTTTGAGTCTATCTTTGTCTGTTGGTAGAACCTTTTCCTGTTGCTCCACATCTAATGATTTCACCAAATTTATTGATTGGCAATTACCTATTTCCTCGCCTTTTTTAATTTTAATAGTGTGTTTAGCGGTATTCATTATTCTGACAGGAATAAGACCATTTTTGTTCGCTTCTACCAGGCATTTTCCAATGACCGCGTTCTGTACATTTGTCGTTGAGGTTGGCTCCATCAAATAGAACTGGTGGCCCCCAGGATCGCAATTCAACTTGCCCCATACGATGTTTTCAGATGATTGAGGTAGTACTATGTCACAATCGACTGTCACTCGAATGCATTTTTCGTCGCTATCCCCCATTATCACTTCTGTATTTCTCCATCTAAGAATGCGTTTTTCTAAGTCAATTTTGAACCCATATTTTGTCAGAAAGTCGACACCTATTATGCATTCGTCGATGATATCCGCGACTAAGAATGAACCTTCGAATAACAAGTCGCCTAGCTGAACAGTACGGAGAATCTTTCCATAAACTGGTGCTGTTCCTCCGGTAGCTGTTCAAAGGATGTATTTGTTAGAAGTCTCTTTCTTCAGATTGGGTACCAAATCAGATCTTAAAATCGATTTTGTTGCTCCGGTGTCGACTGTAATTACACATTCTCGTTGAGATCAACTTTTCCGTTCAACCATAGGTCGTTTCGATTTCGATGTAGTCTGGAAACGTTAATTACTGTACTGGGGGCGTCAATTCTACTAGCAAATCTATGCCCCACAAAGTTGGCTCTTATTAGTTTTCCGTCCATTCGATACTGGATCATCTTCTTTTCTTTTGCACCATCTTGTCGCGCAATTTCGGCAGTAGTTATCTTTTAGGCGGTGTTTACAATCACGACGTAGATGGCCTTTTTCACCACAAATCCAGCATTGGGGTACACCATGCTGTTGAGGTTCGCGTTTCACAACCACCTTCTGGCAAGAGCATTCTTCATGCACTTGACGTAGACGTACGTCACTTTTTGATGCTTGCTTTGCCGATTCAAAAGTGAGACTGTGCGCAACGGCATCCTTGAGTTTTCGTTTATCTGACAAGAGAAGGGATTGTTTGAGTTCCGAATCACGAAGGGCTTTGATAAACGTATCCAGGGCAGTTTCGTCTCTATGCTCGGGGTCTGATGTCGGATACGACAGCAATGTCAACCGTTCGATATCTTGTGCCAGCTGCTGAATAGATTCACCAGATCGTTGCGTTTTGTTTCTAAGCTGAGACCGATAAATCTGTTTCATGTGTTCTTCACTATAACGTAAATCCAACGCGCTAACCAGAATTTCATAGTTGAAGTGGTTCTCCGCCGGAATCGTCTGAAGAACCTCTGCTGCTGAACCTCGCAGGGCCAGTATCAGTGCTGTTGCTCGTTCTTTTCCGTTCCAACAGTTACTAGTTGCCGCTTCTTCGAACTGGATTTTATAAACGTTCCAGGACATCTCTCCGTCAAATGCTGGTACCTTCAAAGTTCTTCCGGATGCGTGATCTAACGGCATGGCCATTTTTTTGGAATGCTCCAATTCTCGCTTCAATTTGTCTATCTTGTGATTTACCTCAACGGTCTGACGATCAAGTTTCTGCTCGATCATTTCTATTCTTGTTGACTGTTCTTCAATCTGTTCTGCCACTTCCAATTTTACGAGTTTTAACTCCTCTGTCTGTCGTTCGGACTGTTCCTTGATCTGTTGTTTTAACTCTTCTGTCTGTCGTTTGGACTGTCGTTCGGACTGTTCTTTGATCTGTTTTAACTCCTCTGTCTGTCGTTCGGACTGTTCCTTGATCTGTTTCATTTCAGTTGACATACTAAGCAGAAGTTCCATCATTTTAGCGGTTGTAAACGTGCCTGTGCTAATTTCATTGTCCTCATCATCACCATCAAACTTGAATTCGTCTGGGTTCTTACCTTCGTCAATGAGAGCTTCTCTCAGACGTGCTACTAGTACTTCTTTGTTGCCACTTGTGACAAGGCTTCGTTTCTGTAGTTCTTCTCGTAGTTGAACTACGTTCAACCCACACAGTTTTGACATCGTGTTCTTTTTCTCTGAGTAGTAATTCGCTGGTCGAAGATCCCACTTCTGACACCAATGTTATAATACTCTCTGTCGTAACCGATTTACGATGCGACGGGTTCAAATCCTCGATTGAATAAAATATTCCAAACAGTTATTAAACTTTATTTACAGAAGAAATCAACTAATCGTTTATTTCCAGTAAATTCGCACTAACGCAACAATTAACTTTTAAATCTTTCAAAATCTATCGCTATGACAACGTCAACAAACAAATCAAATATCGCTTTAAATAATTCACCGAATCGCTATTCACAAAATCACGAATTTCACTAATCACGAATATCTTGCGACGTGCGCTTTTATACTCTTCGCAAGCGTCGTTTCTAGATTCTTCTCGATGGTCCGATTCTAGCATACTCTAGAATGCTCCAGTCACTAGAACATTCTAGAACACGCTAGAATCTAGTGCGTTCGGTAGCACGGTTATAACAATACAAACAACATACAACATACAACATACAAACAACATACAAGAAACATTCAACATACAAACAACGGGCAATATATAACATGGAAACTGCAACAACGATAAAAAGCACACAACTGGATAGAACGTACATCTGCATTAGACGGAGCGTTAATCAGCGGACAGCTTCACAGTACACAATGCATTATTCACCAGACATTAATCAGCACACACCATGCTCCAATAACTGACAACCCTGCCCAGCCCTACAAACCAATCCCTACACATTCCTTTTGGAGTATTGAGACTAATTTTTACACATAGAAATACTTTTCATTTCTTTTTTCTAGTTTATTGCTCATGACTCATTCTAAACTTTTCTCAAATACCCACTTAAAAAATTTGATCTGAATATCTGAACAAATGAAAAAAACATACTGGCAACAAACAAATGCAGTTCAACCATTTGATATTTCCTATAAGCACACTGCAGACGTAATATAATGCTAGGAAGAAGTTGAATTGAACGCTGGATATTGAGAGAACAAACACTCGTTATAACTGATCGATAAATATGTCACGCCTTTCAGCGAGTACCTGGTAGTGGTTGTGGTTGAGAACGTGCGTCAGATGTTGTTTGCTCCACGTGCTGCACTTCTGCGTGTGGGCCTGTCTGGTGGCATGCAAGAGTGCTCACTCCTGCGTTCGTTCTTCTGATAGCAAATTATTATTTATTGCATGCAAATTATCTGATCCTTTCTGGCTACATGCATGAAATTATAAATATAAAAATGTACATTTCTATGTTTATTACATAGATTTTATTGCATATGTTTATAAGCCCATATATATGACCATTAGAAGAATGCATTTATTTATGTTGCATATTGTCGTCACAGAGTGTATTTATGTTGCATATTGTCGTCTCAGAGTTTATTTATGTTGCATATTGTCGTCTCAGAGTTTATTTATGTTGCATATTGTCGTCTCAGAGTTTATTTATGTTGCATATTGTCGTCTCAGAGTTTATTTATGTTGCATATTGTCATCTTAGCGTGTTGACTACTTTATCGCTCAATTCTCCAGTTGGCTTCATTGCAGTCGATGATGTTTTTATTGCCGTCGTCATTGTCGCTACCACAACAGCTGCTACTGCATCGCCAACATCAACAACAATGCCAACACAATATCAATATTTTGTTATTTGCAATCAAATTTGTTTATTGCATTTTATACGATCACGTCTGTTCCTAAGATTGTTTGTAACTAAATGCTCTCATTGGATTTCAGCATTTTTATAAATTCCCTTAATTCGAAAGCACGCGCTGATATGTGTAACGTATGATATGTTGACTGTTGATGCGGTTTTGGTTTTGTTAACAAATTTTTGTGTTAGTCCAGTTGCCAGAGTTGCTTTTGTTTTAGTTATGTTTTGCCACGTTGTTTTATTTGTTGTGGATCTTGTGTTTGTTGTTGTTGTTGTTGATATGTTTGTCGTGGCTGTTATGTGTTTGTTGTTGTTGTTGTGATTATTGTGATTATTATGCTGTTGTTGTAGACGTATGTTTTTGGGTTATGTTTGTTGCGTTGTTGCAATTGTTATAGGTGTGGTCGTTTTGTTGTTTTGTTTGCTGTGGTTTTTGTGGTTGTTCTGATTTTTGTTTTTTTGCATCTATATCATTAAATTTTTTTCATAGTATATCATGGAACAGCAAATGAAAGATTTGCAAACATTTTTCAAAAGTTTTAAATGTGAATTTGTAAAAATAATTTTGAATATATTCCAAAAAATAATTTGAAATTTGGTCAACAAAAACATTCCTCCCTACAAACGTTACGATGAGCTTCATTATCAACCGTTATTGATTCAAAAACAGAAACTGTTGCACTGAGAAGTTTCCGAATTAAAAGATGTCCAATCATAATAATTTTCTACCATTTAAACATTGTTACGCTGAATTAATTCATACCCGTTTTTGAAGTCATATTAAAAGAATGATTGTTGCTTCAATAACTTCTTGTTCATTCCACTCATATAAAACGTTATGTCAAAAAATGTCGATGCTAGCTTACGTAACTTTCTAGCTGGGTCTTACATTGAACATGAAAATATAAATATACGCAATCGAAAAAGAAATAAAAATTATTTGGAAGTTTAGAGCGAAGCCTTCATTTATTTTTATGATCGGAGCCTTAAAGTTTAGCACCGCTGTGTGTAGAGTGCTCTGTTCGATTGTAATTGCCTGCCTGCCTGCTGGCTTGGTCGGCTTGGAATGATGCATGCCTGCAATCACTGCACACACGCTCCTTGTTTCGCTCCATTCTTTTTCAAAAGTCCATAATGAAGTTATTCGTGTTGAGTTCTCAGCTCATATTTTCTTTCTCGCACAGAGGGAAACATTTAAAATGTTAATTGAGGATATCATCAATGGTAACGACGAAGGCAGTGATGAGGTGAGGTGGTGGATGGTGATGCGATTGGATGTTGACGATATGAGGGTGGCTAGGAACATAATGTTCACAAGAATCATGGTGCTAATCTAGTTAGCAAACAAATCTTAAAAACACATAAAATGAGACAGTTCTGAAAGCTATGTTGGTGCTGATGATGATGATGTCGATATGATGATGACGACGACGACTCAGGTCTCTTTTGACGGCGATCTTGATGCTGATGATGATTCCAGCAAAGATGATGTGGAGACTTTGAAAGTGGCGCTTAATAATAAAAAGAAGTAAGTGCGTTAAAAAGAAGTTGATCATTTTTATTGATCCTCTGGTTGAATTTTTAGTGTTAATGTTATCGTAAAAGGCGCCTTTAATTTTTGCAACTTGCATAAGTTGGAAGCTATAAAAATTGCGGACGTGTTGCATAGGAAGCAATTAAAAGGAGCCTAACTTGTTGCGTTGCCAGTTTATTAACCATTTCCTCGGAGGAATTAATTGTGTGGTGAAGTTTTTTTAACTTTTGAATAATGGCCGTCATAACGACGGTAATGATGGGCGTAAGTATCCCAGAAATATCAGCACTATAAATATTTGCTCAGTAGCTCACATGGTTAACTCTCTCTCTTTCTTTCTCTCTCTAGTTATCTTTTAGCTTTTTTATTGTTTTTCTAGTTTTTTCTCTCATATTACCATTTTTTCTTATATTACAAGATTTTAAGTAAGCATTTATAGATTATTATGACATACGTAGAATTAAAATTAAACGAATAAACTTCTCTGCCTCTTGCAAATGCATGTTTGAGTTCACCTACATCAGCACTGAGTGCTTTAATTTTTAATCAAAAAACAAAAATTTAACCAAAAGACAAATAATGATTTTTTAAATGTTTTGGTTTCTAATATTGATAATTTAGAGACGATAGACAAATGAGCAAATGGAAATGAGAGATATTAAACGAACAAAAAGTTGCTTGCACTTGCGAATGAAATGAAATGGAATGAAATGAACTACATACAAACAGCCAAACCAACGGCGCTTATTAATTTGAGTACATAGGTACGTCGCGAGTGAGTAGCTGCAGTTATATGTACTGCAAATAAGCCACTGTTGTCGAAGGTTTGTGCAAATATGGTTGGTGGTCGTCCAATAAACTTCAATGGCCTCTATTCGATACAGCTCTCAAGTCAGCGAGTGATGTGGGAGGCAAACAACATTAGGCTGTGCAGTGCAGATATATTTGTTTTTCATTAATTTTTATGTCTCACTGATTCAGTCATTCTGCCATTTATTATTTCAACTATTTGTGTGTTAGTTACTTGTTTGTTTGTTTATTTGTTTATTTAACTAATCATTTGTTTATTTGCTTGCTGATTCATCCATCCATTCTTTAATTCATTCATTCACTCATTCTTTTTTCATTCATTCACCTATCTGCTTCGAAAATAAATGATGGATGTATTTAATTTAATTGAATCTTATTTGTTTGTTGTTCTTCTTGGGTTGGGATGTTTGCATGAAAATATCCAAAATATCATTATCCAGCATATCATTATCCAGCATATTATTATCAAACATAGCCAGTGAACATTTACAAGATATCAAACTTCTCTTAACGCCAACAAATATTTTATTCATTTATTACAAACCTTACCATCTGGTTGAAAGACAGCAAGATAAGTTCAGTTGGTGTGTACGTTTAATTGTAGGTTGGTCATGATGTGACTTTCCAGACATTAAACATTCCTTCTCTCCGGTTCAAATTCAAATTTGTTTTTCAAAAGTTGTTAATGGACGTTAATGGAAGTTATTAGGTAATATTTCACGCAAGTATCTCCAATAGAATTGTTTTGTCTCAATTTCCATGTTTACGAGAATCATTTTGAAAACGTATTTTAAACGAAGACTTAAGTTGCTTTTGCATCACACATCAGCTTTCAACTCGAAGATATTTTATTTTTATTGTTATCATATCTCTTGAAATTGATTTATTTTTACAGTAAGTGTCACAAAACAACCTGATAGGTTGGGTGCTTTTTCTGAACGTTGAAAACATTATTATAGATGGGTTGAATCAAAGTATTCTATCATTCCAGGTGTATAAACCATCCAAAAGTACACATCAATCCAGATGTACACACCCTTAAAAACGTACACACCTACATGCACCAACCGACATGCATTAAGTCGATCATTCATAATTACAACAGTGATGTCTTTGCGGTGCATTTTGAGTCTAGAGTGTTTTTGCTTTGTTTGTATTTGTTTGATTTTATGTTGCTTTTTTTAATTGTATGTATTATATGTTGTGTGTGTTATTGCATTGTTGAGTTTAATGTTGTTTAGTTGTTGTATTGTTTTCCTATGTTGTTGTGTTGTGTTGTTTGAAAAGTTTTTGTGTTTTTTATAGAAATTTTAAGAGGTCTATTTTGTTGTTGCTGTTGTTGTTTTTGATAATGTTGTAGATGGTATTTTCATGATGTTGTTGTATTTTTGGTTGTTTCATTGATGTTGTTCATTGGTGTGGTTTTGAATTTGTTTTTATTGCCATGTATGTAATCACGTTCTCTCGTCAACAATCTAGATGATGATGATGAGGAGGAGGAGGAGGAGGAGGATGATGATGATGATGATTTATGATGATGATGATGATTTATGATGATGATGATGATGACAAAAGTGAGAATGACGTTTTATTAACGTTTTTGTTGTTCGGCTCCGATGGAATATGACGTGGTCCTAGATTGCGTTATGATTCAGGTGTGGTGCGACGATGTAATGTTGTGCTGATGTGATGATGTTGTGTTGATGTGATGGTGTTTTGCTAGTGTGATGATGTCATATCATGTTTTTGAACTTTATTTCAATTCTACTAGATGATATTTCTTTGAAAATTGTTTACAAATCACCAATCTCATCGTTGTCGCATCGCTAGTCTTTGTCATTTTGTCACAAGACATTTTGTAGCTAAACATTTTGTCGCTAGACATTTTGTCGCTAGACATAAAATCTCATCATTAAATTTAATTAAATAGTTCTCAACTGACCTAATATATTTTTATTTTTCATCCACAGAGAAGCACTGGATCCTATCAGGTGAGTCTATTCCATTATCCTCAAATTTCGTTCTATTTTTTTATTACAAATTAAAAATTTATTTTTCATTTTTCTTCTCTCTCATTGTTTTGCATGATCAAAAAATTTTAATCTTAGAGGCAGCATTTTGTAATATTAAAACTTTTATAATTATTTATGATGCTAATAAAATTTATAACGCACTTGTAGAAACACACAAACACACACACATACACACACACACACACATACACACACACGAACATATATTTATATATACATTCAATTGTTTATATGAATATTCATTTGTTGGTTAATGTAGGGTTAGAAGTAAATGTGTGTTCGCACAATGTTCATTGCATTGATGCATCTAGCGACGAACATCTCATCCATTACACGCGTTAGAAGTGTCAGAATCGTAAGTAGTGTTGGGAGCCTGACAACTGGAAGGTATTCAATGGTCTCCAGCATACAAAATAGCTTAATAACAAGACAGCATAGCAACACAACGACAAAATAATATGACAACACAACATAACAACGCAATAGAGCGACACAACAGCAAAAACTAGCAACATAACAACGTATCTACTCATGGAACAGTTAAACAACAGCACATTTGCACTGCTATGTAGTTGCTCCATGGAAAGCAGCCAGACAACAAGCAGGAGATAAAAATATTAATGCATTGACACAATGGTACGCAGTGCGGATCGATGCTGGGCCCACATTTCATTGTTCCCTACCATGCTTCATGGATCAATGCATCAAACAACATCCATGCACTGCACGCGTTTCTAACAAACCAACCAACCAATCCACCTGCATGCATGCACCACGGGGTGAATTATGCTCCAACAACTTAATATTGACACAACATACGCGTAAATCTGGTTGATTTGTAAATCGATGCACTTGAATGCTAATTGAATGGTGTTTGTTTGTTCGAATGACTGCTCACTTGTATGTATTTGTTCTCTTAAATAATTATCCTCATCTTCTTATTAAAATATTTTCAGTTTGCACTGCTCATATTTCAAAACTGTTCCGCTGCTGGCCACCAACGGCAATGCGTCCCAGCGTGACATTCTTTGAAACCATTGAATCCAAATATCTCCCTCATTCCTTATTAAAACTGTTCATCAGCCTACCTTTATAAACGGAGACGAATTATGGACGAACGCAATTTTATTCAATTCAATGAATCTTTCCATTAATTATTTTGTTAAACATTTTTCTTCTGTAAGTTACAATGTCCGAACCAGCCTACCTCTGAGGCTGCAGTATTCAATGATTATAAATTTAAGAATTCTCAATCATCAGATCAAATAAACCTTTTGTTCAACTTCAATAATTTAACTTTTGCCTACAAAAAATTGAAACATATCCACTTTTCGTTCTTCCAAATTCTATGGAGTCACATCTACACACAAACCAAGCATTCTTTCTGCTGAAGCCAACCACAGAACTAACAATTCGTGATTTCTCAAAAGTGCAGATACTCACTCATTATCACATCTCACATAGTTAACCACTTAATTTTTGTGTACTTTATAATGCTTACGTGCTATTCTATGCTTGCAAAAAATTCACCATACCACAAAGGCTGTACACGTACAGTGTACATTACCCACCCAATACAACGTACATACACATTACACACTGAGTATGCACGCGCAAGAACCGCATCATACGCGTATGATGGTCTTTGAGTTTCGGACACTCAGTATTCGAACCATGTCATCGCGTAACAAAAGCGCGAGACATGGCACTTCTACCAACTGAGCTAACTTGCCGGCCGAACCGATATGGTGGAGATGCAGTGATTAAGTGATTGAGGATGATGAAGGTATCAAAGGCACAATGATGTGATGACATGATGCAAGTTTAACGTGGCTATGAGAATGATGATGATGATGAATGATGATGATGAATGATGATGATGATGATGACGATGATGATGATGATGATGATGATGATGATGATGATGATGATGGATGATCTAACAGTTATAAAACGGTTGAAGACAACAATAAAATGTACTCAGAGGAGAGGATTTTTGTCGAGACTTTCTTAGCAAAAAATCTTTTAATTCATTCAAAAGCCTTGCCTAATCAAAATTTCAAAAACGAACTCAACGGATCGAAAATATATAATCAACGCCACATCAACATTACGTCCACCAAACATGAGCGATACATCAGCATTGTTTCAAAGAAGACGTATCATCACATTAACTTGGAACCATAACATCAACATCCCATCAACATCTTATCTCATCATATCAACATCACATCAACATCACATCACATCAACATCACATAAATATCCTTAATCATTCACATCCCTACATGGAATATATAGCATTAGCACACGC